TAGCTATTAAACAGCACAGCAAAGACACTGCTAGCCAAACACATATCCAGAGGTCATGCCTCAGGTCTGTGCCCTATTCATTGTTTGCCTCTCAGTCTTCCAAGCCATGTCCCAAGTTTTTCTCCAGAAACGTCCTTCTTTTTTTAATCCAAGACTGCAATTCTCACCCAACCACATGGCCAGGACCAAACCGCACCAGAAACCACAGAGACAAAGGGTATATATTTCACACATCAGCATAGCAGGGAAAAGAAAATCCAGAATGAAAATTCCCCATAGATGTAACCTTGATAAATGTTCCTGGCGTCGGGCAGTAGGTGTCACCACTTCCCACACACATAGGAACAAAACCACCTTCCATCAAAAACCACGTTTAGGAGGTGTGGGTAAAACCATAAACAACATCTCAGCAGCAGCTATTCAGCGTTTTTGTTTTCTTTACCTAACAAGTTGTTACGATTTCAAAAATACCTTTGCATTTGGGCAAAGAACACCCAGTCTTGCAATACTTGCTTTACAAATAAGATGACTCAGAAGAACCAATTATGCTATGAAATCCTCAAGGTAATTTTGCATAAAGGATTTAGTGTGTCCTTCAGATGTACATAATTTGAAAATGTTGCATTATTATTAGATTATCATTACTGCCTAGCTAGGCACTGGGCAGCTTTACATGGTGGTTCACAGTATCTTCCCAAAAAAGATCAGTTGCATCAGAAATTCTCCTTGACCCCAGGACAGAGAGTTTCAGTCCCCAGCCTTGAAATCTAACTAATAGTCTGTAGTATTAGGGATCCAGCAGCCACGTCATTAGTGAACATGTTGTATCTTCCAGAAACAAGTACAACTTGATCAATAAACATTTTCTGAATTATATCACAGTTTTTTGGTTGGTTGGTTTGGTTTTGGGGTTTTGTTTGTTTGTTTTTGAAAATGACATTATGAACCTAATTCACAGAGTTACAGACTTAACAATTTCAGATAGTTGAATATTTTCATATTGCTGAAAAACATCTAAACAGGACAGAGATTATGTTGTTGGAAAAAACAGTATCAATAGCATGCATTAATTAATGACATAATGGCTAAAGAGGCTAATTACAACAGAGTACAGGAGAAAGGAGGGAGGGGCATGAGTTGTATAGCATAAGGAAATGTCAGCACATGGATTTTGACAGTCCCAGAGTCTGAGCATCATCTCAAGAACAGAAAAAACCTGACCTGGATTTTTGGCTTGACAGTGAGCCTTTGAGGTGATATCTTTGACAAGTTAGAGCTCACAAGTGAAGTCAAACTTTTTTTGGCAACTAGCTATGCTAAAATTGCAGAGTCAATTAGTGTGCTGTATCTGGCCAAATGCAAATAAGCTCCTGTTGGACTAAATTGCTATATATTATGATAAATAGTTTGCTCTATTCCATGGACTCATTTGCTTGCTCTGCTTGTGCCTATCAGAGTCACAGCTGCTAATGTCAGCTAACTGAGATCCAGTGAAAAAAACCCGTGCTGATGCACAGCGCATTAAAAGTCATTAAGGTTTTGGATGCATGTTTGTGACTCTGTACCAAACAATGATCAGGGGCAAACGACAGGAAGATCAACTCTTGTTTTGTATAAACGAATGTGAAACCCAAACTCTGCCAGAATTGTGCAATAAGGGAGGAAATCAAAGGGAAAAACCACCACACATTTTTCAAGAAAATAAAGTATCAGTACATCACAAATTCATTTTTTAAAAAAATCCTTTTGAATCTATCATGCAAAAAGCTCCAGTATAACCTAGAAGCTGCTAACAAGTCAATACTCTGACATTTTACTTAGGGACATGGAAGAGGCTTCTACACAGCACGACAGATACTCACATTCCTTGCTTCAAATTTTCTGAAGTGTTAGGCTCACCTCCTCTAAACATTAATATAAAGTCTGTCATTGACTGACAAAACTAGAAGGATGATAGCACTATTCACACCTGAACTGGGTGCTTTCACAAAAATTTTTTCCCCCTGAAAACAGATGTGTAAGCTTACCAGTAATTCGGTTTTCAATTTCCCCTTGCATCTGGAGGGAGTCCACATAAATGGTTCTGTTTCCAATGATTCGTGCACACGCGATTCCCCTGTATGGCTGACAGAACCCATCTTCATGGTAATCTTCTCTGCAAAAGACATGTTAGGATTTTATATTCAACTGTCTAGCTGCCCCCAAGGGATTTTTACAAAATATATTCTTATAAAAGGATAAAAACTCAAAATACTGTAAATCTGAAATTGTTCCATTCCCCAGGTGCAGCCTTTTCCTCCAGCTCTCTCTACACGACCTTAGATATAGTAATGAGGGGCACTGTAAATAGCTCATTACTGAAAGATGTAAAACAAAACCCAAGACTAATTTTAAAATCATATACAGCTAATAACGGGATTTAACAGATGAATCTATTAAAAAGCCTTTAGATTGAGACAGCAACATAGATCTTGTTACATATCCCCAAACATTTTTGGAATCTAGCTGTACCCCTTAAAATTATGCAAACAGTTTGTACTCTTCTCCCACTTCTCTCTCCCATTCTTCATTTCCTGTAGTGGATAGCAGAAGAGATTCTTGCCAAGCTTGAATTAAAACACACGGAATAAATAATTTTGAACTGTGAATTAAGTAAACAGAATAAAGTGTTAATCAGGGCCTTAACCTCTTTTTCTCTTCTCTCTAGTGATAGTGAATGCCAAGTTATCTTCCAAAATATATTTTAATACAGTTTTCAATTCAATGAGGCTTCAGGCCTTTCACTCCCTTACATCAACATAAATATTTTAACACAAAAGCCCTAGCCTAAAGGCTCAGTGGTTCAACACTTCATCCCCAAAGCCTCTGTAAATAATACAGAGCAGATCTGCAGATCATAACTGTCAGAGCACTGAAAAAGGGCTTCAGAGTGAGAGCACTCTGAGTTAATATCCAGTATACTCAGTGTTTCCCCTGGCATGGCCCAGCCTCTGTGCTAGCATTCACTAGCCTGATGAATTCACATCATGCCATTTACTTCAAGATGGACCAACAGTAGGTCGAAAACATAATCTAGAAAACCATGACTGTAGAGTAGGACATCTAAAACCTTAATCAGCTTTTGTAACTAAACAGTTCAAAAGTCTGAGATACCTCTCCAATACCAGCTATTTTTGAAGTATTACTTTAATACTCCTCTGTCCTCTGTACTTTATTATCTTTGGATATCAATACTGGTTTTGGTCACCCATGTTTCCCCTTCTCTTACAAATACCTTCACCCTTCCTCAGGGTCTCATATGAGCATGACAAAAATGTCAGTGAATACATGTAAAATCCTGTAACTTCAGCTGGGCCAAATCAGCATGGAAACCTGCTGCCTGACAACAGCTAGCCATGATGAGCACATCACCCAACACCTGCGTGTGCTGAGTGCAGCCTGTTATTTCTGATATCTTACTCTGCCTTGGGAAACTCTTCTCATTTTTTCTCTGCTCTGTCTCCCTGATAAAGCTCATCTCTTCAGGGAAATCTTACCAATATTTCTTCAAGTATAAATTCTTTGGGAGTGAAAGGTTGGGAAAGACTGCCTTTACTGTGTAGCTAAAAGGTGGAGCCACCGATCACCACTTGAACTGCACCCTTTACTCAGAAAGACAATAAGTTAACAAGACTTTCTCCATGACACAAGCTGCTAGATAAACCTTGGTGATATGTGTGGCCTACAGTTGTTATTCAGATCTGGCCTTTATTTCCAGTGATGGTAGCATTGCTAAATATTCACAAAACCAACATTTTGTGTACAAACTCTGAAACAAGTTCTGCTTCCACAAAGATATGTAAGTTTTTGATTATGGTGGATGAAGTAAAGGAGGAGTCTTAAGACCAGCTACTTCCTGCAGTGACATTCTTTCATTCTTACAACAAAACCTGTAATTTTGCAACAATTGCATCATGCCTGAAGGGACAAAATATCAAAGCATTTTGTCTGTGCCTGTTTTATGATCCTTGACCACCTCAGTAGGAAGTCAGTAATTCCCATAAGGAGCTGAATGAATATGAAACCTCTATTTGACCTCTTTCTCAAGAGTAAATTCATACCCCTATCCTGCAGGACAAAGTCTGCAATGTATCTTACTGAAACTGTATCTCACACTTCAGCTCTCAATGCAGTGCTCTCTTGCTGGTAAGGAAAAAAAATATCTATAAAAAATTGCACTCCAAACAGCGTGAGCTTGGTGACAACAGCACTGTGATCTCTTACTTAGCTCAGTTTATTTATTTCTGTCAAGAACTACTAAACACAACTTAGATACTATATATACACACATATGCTCCCCTTCCCCATGTTATAGTCAACTGCTGATTAAACTAAACTGGATATGACCATTCCCATGGACACAAGCAAAAGTAAACAGTAACCTGATGTCAGTTACTCTGACAGGAGCTGGGCTGTAATTCCACATGCATCTTTGTCAGGTCAGGAAACTCAGTGTAACAGCATTTGGCTGGTACTAGTATTAAGAGGACACGATTACCTTAGTCTTCTTAGGAAAACATTTGATTTCAACAAAGCTGTAGAAGTAGCAGCACCAGGAGTCTCCTTACAGATTAGTCAGTCCCTCAGCTACATGTACACTGGCACATGGCAAAAAATCTAGAACAAAAAGCAACCTGGGGGAAATCTGATAAAACAGCACAGGAGCGTCATCACACTCAGTTCAAACAGGAGCCTTTGGAATCACGTGTGTCTTTGATTCATGCTCCAAACCATATGCCAGCAATTCAGTTGCTGATCAGAGCAATAATTAAAAGCTGCTGAAAATAGGCAGAAATTCTGACTCTCCAATTTCCTGCTGCTTGAGCTATAAAGCCTATTCTGATCAAGAACCCTGGTGAAAGCAGATATCTGCCTCCACAAAAGGAATCCAGAAGAGTTCAATTTGTTTCACTTGTAGAAATCTTACAAGCTAACCACCACAGGTAATTTTTTTATCTTTGTTCTTTAGTTTCTGAATGTTTCAAGATGTCATATCCTTTCCTCACTGGTGATTTTCTTCCATTTTTATAGAACTTATTTTTTTCAAAATAAGAGTCAGGAACTTGCTAAGTGTTGATTTTTTTTTACCTTTGCTGGAAGGCAGTCTCAAGGACAGTGCATCTGGAAACTGAAATTTTGCAGCACTCAGTTATGGTGGAGGTAAGGTACATTCTCTTACTGAGAGAAATCTCATCCCAACTACTTGTCATATGTTTGACCAGAGTTTGGATTTTAAAATAAAATTATAAAAAATCTGACTAAACAGACTCTCTGCTCCTAAAGCCCCAGATTCCACTGCTTCGGATGAATGTCATTAGTTTTCCAGGTCGACAAGGTGGTCTTCTGCCAGAAAAAGAAATCTAAGAACTAGGCTTTCTAATACAAAGCTGAAGCAGAAAAACCTTATGTCTTGGTCACACACAAACAAAACCAAAACACTGATACTACCTTTACATGCAACATGGAGTTTGAACCAGTTTACCAGGTCTGGAAACACCTTGAAGTACCATGCACTGATTCGCATTTACAAGTTCCTTATCACACATGCACTGCAACACCTGATTAAATACAGTCTGCCTTCAGTTTGTGGGCAGATGTCTGTGTGAAATGGAGAATTAACCAGACAAACAGTGTAGAAGAAAGATGCAGGTTTGGTGGTACAGTGCCACTTCTCCTAGTGACAAGAATCATAACTGGGTCTGTAAAGGAAGAACTGGAAGAACCAGGTGCCTCTGAATAGGATTAAAACCTAGCAGGCATGAATAGGAGACTGTCTACGTGGAGGTGATGCAAGACTTCCATAAGGTACATATCTGCTCTAGAAGAATATAAAGAGATTTCTAGGTGTCCTGCATGTGCTGCAAAACCACAGTGAACATCACCACCTTCTAATTTCACATGTGATACAGAAAGAACACCAAACAAAATACTACAAAAGAAAGTACCTGTGAACCAAAGAGGCTTTTCCTCATGGAAAATCTGAAATGCTGAAAGAATACATCTGGCCACAATACACTACACAATACCTGTGTAACCCCATATATTGTTTGCTGAACAGACCAGAGGGCATATGAAAAAAAAAATCCCAAAAGGCAGCCAGAGAAACTCAGTTCAATACCTAAATCACTTTTTGAAGCACCTAAATCTGATGAGAGCCTTCAGTATGTATTTTGTGCCACTGAAAACATGGTAAGTGCAGACCTAGTGGTTTTGCTGAAAAATGGGAAAAACACATGAAGGCCTACGAATCTTTGGCAAGGGTTCACAAAGGGAATTCTGAGAGCAGAATTGAGAGGTACCACATACTTGTTTGCTAGTAAGACACCTTTATTCTGATTAAGAAAATTATTGCCAGCAGGTTGAAGGAGGTGATCCTGCTTCTATCAGCCCTTGTGAGGCCACACCTGGTACTCCAGGGAACTCGTGTCTAGTTCTGGGCTTCTCAGTACAAGAGGGACATGAAGCTCCTGGAGCAGGTCCAGTGGAGGACAACAAAGATGATTAAGGGACTGGAGCATCTCACTTATGAGGAAAGGCTGAAGGAGTTGGGCCTGTTCAGTCTCAAGAAGAGATGGCTGAGAGGGACCTAATTAATGCATACAAGTAAATGAACATGAGGTGTCAAGATGATAGAACCAGCCTCTTCTCAGTGGTGGAAACCAATAAAACAAGAGGTAAGGGATAAAAATGATGCACAGGAAGTTCTACCTAAATATGAAGAAGAACTTATTTACTATGTGAGCCACTGAGCACCAGAACAGATTGCCCAGAGAGGTCATGGATTATCCCTCATTGGAGGTATTCAAGAACCATCTGGATGCAATCTCAAGCCATGTGCTCTAGGATGGCCCTGCTCAAGTAGGAAGGTTGGACCATATGACCCATTGTGGTCCCTTCCAACGTAACTGATTCTGTGATTGCATACCACAAACTTCACTAACAAAGATAACACAAACTTCTAAGTTAAATCTATTTTCCTGACAATGGGAGAGACAAAACACTGTGCATCAACCATAAAAAGCAATTCAGAAATGCTCCAGAAAAATCAGAAAGAACAAGGTTTTTTTTCTGAATACATTGGAAAAAATAATTACCTCATTTAATAACACCCTACCA